TTATATATTATTTGTGTTAATTTTTATTTTGCCTTGATCCACACTAACCTCAATAGGTAACAAGTTAGGGGATTTTAAAAATGTATATTATGTACGGATTTATGGGTGTTAGGATGTATTATTATATATTTCATCCCCCCCCTAGCAAAATTCCTAAATACGCCACTGCTCCAATCATATTTACTTTAAATGGCTATACTTAGTTAAATACTTATTAATTATACGTTCAATTGGTTACAAAATTCTAATGAAGAATATGAAATAAAAAATTTAAATTGTCCTCAACAAATAAACAAAATTTTTTCATACATAATGTTTTTAGTTTTATAATAATTTCAAATTATGCTTATAATTCTTATGTTAAAATTTTTTTTCCGATATGATGACTGTTATGAATAAATTGCCTTATATATTACACCTATAAATATATAAGTAGTATTTTTTTTGGAAATCTAAATTATTATTATTATTATTATTATTATTACTATTATCTTAATTGTTGAATATTATTTAAGTTGTAGCCTGGCCTCCCACATCACATTTTAGGTCCCTGTTCTAAATGTTTTTGTGGATTCTATACAAAGAAATTATGAGTAATACAAGTGTCTCATAAAAGATTTATGGTTCATATATTAATATATTATTATACCTAATACATACATTTATATCATAAAATATTATTTAACATAAGATAAGTATTCCTATCAAGATTTCTTGTACTCCAGGTTCAAAGCGCTACACTTGTAGAGGCTCTAATAATTGTAGATATTCTAATAAAAGTTTTTTTTTTTACATTCAATATGCTATCTAATTTTAATTCACGTCCAAAAATGTCGATTACAATAAAACTCTCAAATAACAATAATTGTGTTGAAATTATCTTATTTAATACTGAAAAAATAAATAAAAATATTTTATTTTATTGAAGAAGTAACACATATAATATGAATATAATTTTGTTTTTAAAACCCAACTGTATATTTAAGTATGTTTATTAAAATAAGACCAATATTTTTTACCATTTAAAGTATTCATGTTGTATTTCCTCTCCAAGTATTGTTTGAATTTTGGTTCCGGGCTATTTCTTCGACCTCGCGAAGGCCAAAAGTTTGGATCGTCGTTTTCACCCAAAACTGCACTAATATCGGCTCTTGAGGTTCTTGTGTCGCCATTTATAAGCTGTAAAATTTCGAATTTGGATTTTTTACCAAATGTTCAAGTATTCACTACAGAGACATTCAGCGGTGTCACGTTTTAAAACTTCAATAATATACGTTTTGTCATGGATCTTGTTTAATAAACATGAGAGTCGGTTTTCACAAACTCTACCTATGTATATGTTGTTACCTCATTTCAGGGATTTATGTTAGAAGGAGTGGATACGAGGAAACAGTATAATAGTATTTTATGAAAATTAAATGGAATTAAACCTATGGGGCTATGTTATAAGAGCAAAGTCTGGTTCAAAAAAAATTGTATTTAAGTCTCATTCATTTACTACCTGCAAGTACCTATTATATCTACATTTATATTTTAAAATAATAACAATTTTGAAATTTTTCATGAACTTTACCTGAGTATTAAAATTAGATTTAGAACCACTTAAATTACCTTTAGTGTCCTTTACTCATCATCTTTTGAATTTAATATCAAAGAATATAAAAGAATATTGAATAAAATGTTTTTTATAAATTATTGTTTTGAAGTTTTAGAGATATATTGATCTTTTTTTTTTTACTATTTCGTGAAATACTTCATAAAGTATCATTCTATAAACATAAATTATAATATTGTTTATCTAAATCTTTTAGTAAAAAATATCGTTATTTTAATTCTAAAATAGAAATGGTTACTATGAGCAACACAAAAAAAACACATTTTTTTACTTGTGTGTTTTCAGCTGAAATGGCAAATAGTCCAAGTATACATACAAAATAGTTTTATTGAAAAACAATAATTTAATATAAACAATGTTATTATTGTTATTATTAATTTTATTATAATTTATGTATAAATAACTTCTCAGTAAACCAATCCAGCAATATTTACGAATAATCTATGTACCTACAACTTTAAAATAGTCTCAATTAAAAATAATTGAAAAATATTTGTAAAATTCACTACATAAACTGCAGCTATAATTTACAAATTATGATATTTTGTTTATATATATTATTTATCGAATCAGAATATTGTTGTAAGCACGTAAACATATAATACATAATTATATATTATTATAAAATATCATTATTATAAATAACTTTTACATATATTATAATACATTCATATTATGAAAAAAAATACTATCAATTGAATTTGATTAATTATTAGTACCTTTATAAACACATTTATAATTATTCTGATAAAAAATTAATTGAAAATTGAATAATGTAATGTTTATGTAAGCTAAACGCAACATTTATATTTTTTATAACGGTTTTTGTAATTTTTCAATTCTAATTCTGTGAAGAAATATAGTTTATATTTTGAGATTTTCTAAAAATAAATTTGTTTTCTAGTCTTTAAAATGTATTTATATGAAATATATCCAATTTAATTATGTTTAATAAGAGTTTGTTATGGTATGCTCATTACATTTATTTATGTAACTAATTAAAAATATACATACTACTACCTTGCCACCATAAATTATAACAAATAAAAATAATCTATCGTCAAAATGATGTACCAACCTGTACAAAATAGGCGACACTTATTAAGTATAACTTTGTTCTTGCGTCCATGAGCTCCATGACGTCCAGTTCGAATGTCCAACTTTCCTTAGAAGCTACGTGTATTTATAGACTTTATAACCCTTGCATTATTATATTTACACGTACCTTGGTTTGGACACACCGGGTGATCGCGATGATTAACTCTGGGATCGGTACCGATTCCCATTTTAATCATGTTCATGGCGCTGGATACACACCCTTAGGTTATTGTATTACACTGCCACCCCTACTATTCATGAATTTCAACTAGAGGGTCGACAAGGCTTGTACAAGGAATATTACGACATGTTATTTTATTATGTGTCCAAATAAAAAACAAAAAGAAAAACAGAAAGAAAAAACAATATTACTGTATTATATTTGTTTACTTTCGAAATAACCTATTTTTCTTCCGTAGGTCCTTTGGGTAGCCTTTTCAGCGGCGTTTGTCATTAACGTGTCACAATGGTGAGTAAAACAATACTTATACTGTCTTATAATTAATCTAACTTTCTTGTTAATCGCTGTCAGCTACGCTTCTTGTAGATTATAAAGATGCTTGTACGCGTCCCAACACTTAGGATAATTTAATATATCTGAAATGGTTATTATAATGGTATAATGGGTATTGTTTGTTGTGTTTGATATAGAAATTCAAATTCTGTGGGGGTGGTGACTGCCCAGAATGGTTATTGGTTCAGATTAATGCACTATCAAGAATGGTAAGCATATATATTTTTTAATGTTATAAAACTGGTACCAAATATACATAAAGCTTCTTTATGAAAATCTACATCACAAATTTACCTTCTAAAACCTAATATAAAATGTGGTTATGATCAGTACATTATTATTTATTTTTATTTGTCTAAGAAATATCCGTTATATTTACGTACAGATTATTTATTTCGTTTTAGAAATACGTAATATTTTTACTAAAATGTAAGTTAAATTTGCCCATCTCTGTATCTAGGCTTTCAATATTTTATAGAAGTATAGTTTTTAAATTTTGGAGTTGGTTTATTCAATTTAAGTTAAAATTCTATTATTTTCTCTGCAGACATCGATTAATATGAAACTGTTAGCCCAGTGCACGGTTAATTCATTGCTTGGAGAACCATTCAACGTAAGTTTATATTATTATGTTAGCGTTATGGTATTATGTCTTTTTATTTATGATTATTATAAAAGCGGTGTAAAATCACTTTTTAGCAACTCATTGTTTTATACTTTAAAAAATATACCAACACGTAAAAACAAAACAAAAAATACAATTAGTTAATTCAAAGCAACTCGTTAATCTTGATTGGTCTTATTTATGGTGTTTGCCAACAAACTTTTTTATTTTTATTATTTTTCACAAAATATAATCTATTGGGATTTGAAAAAAAGCTATTATTCTTCATTATTAGGTATACATCCACTATTTTTTTCTTAAAGAAAGTTATTTTTTTTATTGTTACAAAGAATTCTGTGCTCGTCTTTTATTCTTCACCTTTTTAAGACGCACCCGCTAAATATTATAGATAATATCATTTATGTTTACGTAATGGACCATGTAAGTGCGTAGATTTTTGTCCAATGTTTCATAAAGACCTTAATAAATCTGATTATCTTTAGCGGACATTTTTTAATGGAATAATAGAATTAACTGATTAAATATAAGACTATGTCGGTTAGAAAGACCTCATATTATTTACGATAAAATTTATAATTTTTCATTTTTGCTTGATGTCTTAAAAAATGAGTTTTTTTAAGTAGCTTAATATTAAACAACTTATACGTATTGCAATAGATCACACTTTTTACCGCTTCTATATGATCGTAGAATTTGATACATCGTTAGGAAAACCTATTATGTGAACGATGATACAATACCGAATAATTAATGATATCTTTTGTTTTGTAGCTTGAAAAAGCTAAGGAGCTTATGGATGATTCTAAACTGGGTAAGTTAAATTGTTTTTCTTATAATATACGAAATGGTTTGCCGGTTTATGAATATTTGAGGTTAAGATTATAATGTAATACCCAATAGATGTAATATAAAACCACGATATTAGGTTAAGCTAGTACCTAATATAGGAAGTAAATCAATTAAATAATATATATCAAATAGTCGTTATGTACTTAAGTATTACATGTATTGTATATTTCATTTAGTAATATTCCGTATTATTCATTTACTATTTACAAAACGAATTAAATTATTAAATTATATAATTTTTTACAAATTTAACAAACAAGTTGACATTTATTTTCAACTAATATTTTACTCCAACTTTTCCAGGCTTAAATTATCCAAATGCAATCTTTTAATAATATTCTCAATTGTATATACAGTCAGCAGTGATACAGATTAAAAATATTAGTTTTTAATTTCTATTGTTTTAAGTTAATCTATAAGTACCTATAATTAATTGCATATTGTTTAGTATTTATATATTTCAATATTTTTCCATCCACTATTGTTTTGTACTGAATGTTAAAAAAAAAAGGCTTATTTATAATGTATAACTGTATAAGCTGTATAACATTAAAGGCTAGAAATTTACTCTATGATGATATATTGGGTATAAACAAAATTATTTGTATGTAGTTGTAATAAGGTTACACTTCTGCTGTCATATAAAGATACTTTTAGTCCTAATCACAAATGATTTATTTTTTTCCTGAATTTATCTTATTAAAAACGTGGAGTGGATTGTTCGGCTCTCACATAAAATACGAACCATGATTTTATTACTATGGCTTTACTTAACAGTTCTTTGATGCTTATTGTACACTATATAAAATCTCTTTAGGGTGTTTTCTACACTAGACCATAAATCAATTTCTATACTTTGTATCTTATTATACTACGTTCCATGGACCTGGACACAACGCTGACCTCTAATTTATTTTAAATTATAAAATTTAGTGGGACGTTATCTTAGATTATCATCCAATAGGTATATACATCCACTACTGATTACGCTAAAGGAATTAGTAATTATTAACTATTTATTTCATTTACTATACTTATTATACTTTTAGTATTGTATAATTTGTATACGATATTTCCACTTTAGATTTGTCTTGGCGTTAGGTGGATTTGTTTGGGTTATATAAATGTGTGTTAAAATTTGTTAAGTGTTCAAGGTTTTCCAAATTTATAATTATATAATATATCATACAATAATTCACTTACTCATGAATTAAACTTAAATTTTAAATTTTAAACATTCAATAATTTAATCGTTTGCAAATTAAATAATGTAATTAAAAACTTGTAAGATGACCATAAATATTTCTGATTGCATATAACACTTTTAAGTTTTAAGATTATTAATTAAATATATAAATTTCATTAGAGGAACAAAATAGCAATTTTGATGGTTTATTGATCTACATTTTTGTCTTGGTCAGCGTAATATTTTATCACTCTTGATCGGTCATGTGCATTTTTAGTAAGTATCAATCTTAGTAAAATGTTTAAATTATTTTCAGTAGGTATATTCGTGTTATATGGCCATATGGGAATGTATTAAAATTATTAATATTTTAATATTATATTGTTTTAGTATGTATCGTATACGTAATATATTATATGTGACATAAGTATCCATCTAAAATAGTTTTAATCTAAGGCATTTTGAAAACAAATATACTTTTTAATAATATTTTTAATATGTTTTTTTATTTAGATGTTGAAAACTGTAAAGCATGTGTAGCTGCAATCACTTATATTCTAAAAAATGCTGCCTGCCATGCCGTCCCACGAAATTATCTGTCTAACGAATTACAACAAGTATATATCTAAATTTTATAAATTAAAATGTATTATACATTTATAGTTAGTTATAACTATTAGCAACTATCATACGCAGTTAATCAAATAATTAAGATACTTTATTAAACTTTGGGGCTTGGTAGAAATTGATATACCATAATTTGTATTTCTTATTTAATAAGACATAAATAATAGGTATAAACTTCATAAAATAAGTGTTCTGATTTATTATAAGAAAATAAAAATTTCAAATTCCACTGATACAGTTATGTTTTAAAGTAATTATTTTTTTATCTAGAATAAAACTAATTAAATACTAGATTTGTATAAAACGCGTTTATTAATGAGGTATATTTCTTTTTTAGTATAAAATTGAATATAGTTAATTATATTCATGTATAACCTATTATAGAAGTTAACCTTAATCAATCATATAAACTGTTACTTGTTTACATTTTTTCCAAGAACTTTGGTTTATTTGCACAGTAATTTAAATTTGATATATAAATCATACATTTTATCAATTTAATAAATAAAATTTATGATTAATACTATATCACTCATTTACAGATTGGTTTACCCCATGAACATACTTCAGAGCTATGCAGAATATACTTGGACAACTTATCACAAATAACTAAAATATTGAAGCATGAATCTTTGAAAATTGGTCGTTTAAATGATGTTGATATATCTAAAGGAAATAATGGCGAATATGTTATGAAATTAAATTATAATAATTCATCTACATTTTCTGAAGAAAATAAATTCACGTTAACCAAGGAACAAATTCAACTTTTAATTGCTGGTATGTAGAACATTTATAATTATTTATAAGATAGGAAATAGTGGAAATCATATAGACAAATTGAGTCGTTATTAAGGTAATTAATGATAGTAAATTAGTAACATTGAATGTTTGTTTTTAATTTAAAATATAATTTTCTTTTTTTAAAACAAAATTCTTCAATAACTTAATTTATATTTGTAGCGAATGATAAGTTATCATTGATAACCGATGGCCATTTAATAGGTATTAACTTAACAATTAATAAAGTAAGATAAGTAAGTTCTTTAGAACTGTCACAATTATCATACACAATAATTTTCTTCGAGAAAGTGAACTAGGTACAGACGTAGGTACAGTTATATATTATTAGATTATGCGTAATATTTGAAAATCGTATAAAATCTCCGAAACACGTCTAAAGAATCTTCTCACTGGATATAGCTTCCTTCTCCTCGTTACCATGTCCATTATGTTTACTTTTTTGCTTATTTTAACTTTTTTTTTATTGTACAAATTATAAATGTTATTTATTTATTTATTTAATAAAAAAAAAAATGGTAGGTATACCTACTTGTCCTACTTATATTATGAATCGGTATGTACTAGTTGCGGTCATAATCAAAAATGACGTACTAGTTGCGGTCACCCCTCAAAAAGGTTACATACTAGTTGCGGTCACCCATCAAAAAGGTTACATACTAGTTGTGGTCACTCAAAATAATAACTAAGTATAGTAAATAATATAATATAATATAGTTTATATAATAATTATTAATTATTAATTAAATATGAAATTAATATTTCGTTTATTTATTTAATTTAAAAAAACGTATCAATCAACATTTTCCTTCCCATTTATATCGAAAATAWAWCATACTTAGGAYTGTCTACACACTATTATTTATTGTGTAGGTATGGTTAAAAATGTTGATACTTATGTTTAAATTATTCGAATATTCGAAACTATGATCGGAGTATACAATTTAATCTATTTTATTTATTTTATTTATAAACGCTGTGTACATTATATCGAAAAATATGTTTATCGTATAATATAAATTTCGCCTGGAATTGGAGTTAATAAAGCTAGGTATGACCGCAATTAAGATATTACCTAAATTGGCGTGACCGCAACTGTTATATCTGTTTATCTCAAAAATCGTCATGACCGCAACTAGTATGCAGCCTTATGAATCGTCCAGTTTTGAAAACAGGATTAATATTTAACACAAATACGAAACGATTTGAACTCAGATCTCTAGAATGTAAAGAGAACAATGAACACATAGCGCATTAATGTGTAAGTACGACTGTAGACTACTGTTGTGTTATTACTACATACCTATGAATTTCAAATTAAATTAAGCTAATTAAAATTGGTGTACTTTGTAATTTGGCATTTTCTATAGATTTTTTTTMTATTATATGGCGAATCGTGTAAGATATTCCTTATATAGTTAGAACAGGTCTGAATAACAAAATAAGTATAGCAAATATTGCAGGTGGTACTACTATAGCCATTAGGTATATGTAGGCTTAATTTGATCAGATGTTACTCATTAGCTCGCTATGCGAGTATCGGTCCTTGAGTGTCCAGGTATTAACTTTAATTTTTAAAGTTTTATATAGAATATATTCAACTCTAATAATTGAGCTATACCTACATTTTTTTTAAATATAGGTACCTATTTAATAATGTAATTAATTCATGATTATTTTAATATTTAGTCATTCAAGAATGATAATAATTATTAATTATTATAATTGAAGTATGCCATATTATATTATTATGTAGGTATACCTACATCAAATGTCCATCCCAAATGTCACGCTCCCAGGTGCATTAAAATAGTCTCGAAAAAGGCCCGGTATTATTCTTATGGAACAGTAGGTATATATAGGAATCTGTTCCCCGTGCAAAATATTATCCTATTATCGTAATATATCCCCTCAAGACCCTGTTAAATTCGTCGCCGACGACCATTGTAATGTCAGTTTAATTATATCAATATATATATATTATGTATATTATATATATACTTATATAAAACCATACACCTACAATATAACATATGTATATATTGTATTGAAAAAAGCGATGATCGTTAAAAAATAGCCTGCAAGTCACATTCCTTTCCTATATTTTGTGTATAAATCCCATATGATAAAAAACAACTATGTATGAAACTTCAAACTTACATACATCATACATCTGATACATATATATATATATATATATATATATATATATAACTTCACAATAAAATATACAAATTTCAGAATACAGAAAATAATGGTCTAGTTTAAAATTGTTAAATGACATTTTTTGTATAACAAGTATATTTGACTTTACGTTATTATTTCATTTACATAATTATACAAAACTGCTAGAAACCCCGTTATTCAACAACATTAAATACACCCATTATGATTTGTGCTAGGACGTTGATTTTTTATTGTTGTGTAACTTTTTAACGTCATATTCGTCAATGGCCATTCCAACGATAGAGTAAAATAATAGTTTAAACTTTAAATTGACATTCTTATTTTGTACGCCTACCTATCTATACAAATTACAAATAATATATATCCAACATATGGAAACAATTAACAAACCACTTGAGACTACAGTCGATTTTATTAAACTTCAAAGGTATTATTTTTAAATTTTCTAAGAACACAAATTTCAAATATATTTATTGTAGAACACATATTTTGATGGTAGGTTATACTTGAATATTCAACTGAAACAATAATTGCAATGTGAATAACATTTTGTTATTTGGTATTTTTATTTATGTGAAATAAATGGTTGCATTCGAAAACCGCACACTTTTGATTTTGACCCGAAAAAGGTCAATAGACAAAAACCGCACACTTTTTCGGTCATTGTATAACAAAATACCCCAAACTTATAGTGGTTAAAACCGCACACTATTTTTAGTGCTAACTAACGGATTAGATAAGATAAGATTATAAGATATAGGTACTGCAATAATCATACTAACACGATTTAAG